GGCTTTTCCACTCATGACTATCACTCTACACCTCCACTGAAGTATAATTCACCTGCAGTATGTACATAGCTCATCAAGGAACACTTCCATACGTTTTAACATCTGCATACTTTATGTAATCAACACCCAGATCAAGGTAAAGCTTATTCCCAGCAAGCCACAACTTAAAGATAAAAGATAGGAGTCTCGTTTCTTCAGTGTTCTACACATGAATATTTTGTTTTCCTAACACCATTTATTGAAAAGACTTTTCCCCAATGTACATTTTTTTTGCATCTTTGTCAAAAATCAGATACTTGTAGATGTGTGAGCTTGTTTCTGTTTCTGGGTCTTCTCTTCCATTGGTCTGTATGTCTGTTTTATGCCAGTACCATACTGTTTTGTTAAAGTTAGCTCTTGTGATATCTTCAATATAGCTCCTCTTGCTCAGAATTGCTTTGGCTATTCTTTGCATTCCAGCAATTGCGTTGCTTTACCAGAATTGCATTAAACCTGTAAATTGATAGTCTAACAACTTTCCATGAACATGGAAGATCATTCCATCTTCTAGTGTCTTCTTCAATTTCTTTATAGTTTTCATTGTAGAGGTCTTTCACCTCCTTTGTTAGGTTTATTTTTAGGTATTTGTTTTGAGCCATTGTGAATGAAATTATTTTCTTGACTTCTTTCTCAGCCTGTTTATTAGTAGTATATGGAAATGCTAATAGTTTTTGTACGTTGTTTGATATAATTCTACTTTGCAAAAATTATCTATCAGATTGAAGAAGTCATTTGTGGAATTTTTAGGATCCCTACAAATATTACTTGAAAATGGGGTAATTTTCCTTCTTCCTTTTCTATTTATATTCCTTAATTTGAGGTAGAATAGACAAGTAAATGACATTATTTTTAACAAATAGTTAAAGGGTCAGACTTAGACATAGAACCAGAAAGCAAAAAAAAAAAAAAAAAAGAAATGAACATAAGCTATTGAAAACTTCTCTTCCTTCCCTTTCATCATATCTCCTTTTATATATTAAGGACACAGCATAAGGAAACCTAAGGAAAGCTGTCTACATCTACCTCCTCCTTTGAAATGATTTTTTAAAAAACTTCAAACACCTCATAAATGGGTAGAGACAAAAAAATGAATAAAAAATCTGGGAACAGGAAACCCTAAGACTCACCTTTTGTCCTGTGTTTTAGGTAGGCCCCACACATCGCCATGTTTTAGAATAATAAACACCCATCTTGTCCACCTCAAATCATTATCTAATGGTTGGGATTTGCTAGACTGTGCATTCCCCCAGCTCGCTAGCTAGCTAGATAGGCAGATGAGTCATTTTTGAGCCTTCAATTTTCATTTCCTATGTTAGAAGCAGGAAATGTTTTTCCCTTTTTTTCTGTGTTCCTTCTTTATCTTGTTACACTAAAATAAATCCTTTTCTCTGACAGACACTTTGAAATGTTTTCATAAGTGGATCTCAAGGATCTGAGATTGTATGTAAAACTTGGAAAGCTGAGGGAAATACTCATTTAACTATAGTAACAATTCCTTTCTCTTGCCATATTTCTCTGGCTAAGAATTCAAGTACTATATTAAGCAAGAGTGGAAAGTGTGGTTACACTTACTGAATTCCTGCCTAGAGGAAACAGTTTCAGTTTTTCCCAATTTAGTGTGATGTTAGCTATAGGTTTATCACGCATGGCATTTATTAGATTGAGTTATTTCTTCTTATTCTTTATGTCTTTTATACCAAAGGGAGATTGAATTTTGTGGAAAACTTCTCTGTACCTATTGAGATGATTGATTGATTTTTTTTTTTTTTTTTTGGTTGTCGTCGGGCTTGAACTTTGGGCCTGGGCACTGTCCCTAAGCTCTTCAGCTCATGGCTAATGCTCTACCACTTGAGCCACAGTACCACTTCTGGTTTTCTGGTGGTTTATTAGAGATAAGAGTCTCGCAGACTTTCCTGTCTGGGCAGGCTTTGAACCACTATCCTCAGATCTCAGCCTCCTAAGTAGCTAGGATTATAGGCGTGAGCCACCAATGCCCGGCTGATTATGTGATTTTTATCCTTTATTCTGCTTATTTGTTGTATTATATTTACTGACTTGTGTGTATTGAAACATTCTTGTATCTGTGGAATGAAACTACTAGGGCTTTAACTCAAGGTCTTACATTCTTGCTCAGCTAAAATTTTCACTCAACGTTGACACTCTACCACTTGTGTGGTAATTTTGACCTTTTGCAGATTAATTGGAGATAAGACTCTCACAGATTTGTGAGCCAGCCTAGCTGTAAACGGTGGTTTTCATATCGCAGCTTTCTAAGTAGCCAGGATTATAAACATGAACCATACACACACAGCTATAATCTTCTAAAATGTGTTATTGTATTCAGAATTAAAGTATTTTATTGAGAATTTTTGTGTCTGTGTTAACCAAAGAAATTGGTCTGTAATTTTCTCTCATTTTTCTCTCTTCCCTCTCTCTCTCCTTCACTTTCCCTTTTTCTTTTCTTCTCTTCTCCTTTTGTCCTTATTTAGTTTTAATATCAAGATTATGTATCTTGGGACTGGGAATGTGGCTTAATGGTAAAATGTTTGCCTAGCATTCATGAGGCCCTGGACTCGATTCCTCAGTACCATATAAACAGAAAAAGCTGAAAGTGGTGCTGTGGCTCAGGTGGTAGAGTGCTAGCCTTGAGCAAAAGAAGCTCAAGGCCTTGAGTTCAAGCCCCAGGAATGGCACACACACAAAAAAAAGATTATATATCTTTGTAGACTGAAGAAGAAATTTTGATTAGACTGAAATTAGAAATTTGAAATTAGACTATAAGACATTTTTGTGGAATAATTTGAGGAGTATTGATGTTATTTCTTCCTTATAATATCTGGTCCAATTCAGCAGTGAATGCATCTGATCCTGGTCTTTCTTGGGAAATTCTTTTTTTTTTTTTTTTCCAGTCATGGGGCCTGAACTCTGCCTGGGCTCTGTCGCTCAGCTCTTCAGCTCAAGGCTAGTGCTCTACCACTTGAGCCACAGCACCACTTCCAGCTTTTTTCTTTTTGCTTATGTGGTGCTGAGGAATCGAACCCAGGGCCTCATGCATGCAAGGCAAGCGCTCTACCACTGAGCCACCTTCCCAGCCCTCTTGGGAGATTCTTAATTACTGCTTTGATTGTATTTGCTTGTTATAAATCTAGAAATTTATCCATTTTTTCTAGATTTTCCAGTTCATTAAAATATAAGTTTTGAAAGTATTTACTAGGGAAATGGTAGCAAACACATGCCAAGATGAAAATTCCCAAGGCAGGTCCCAGTGCTCTTGGACTTTACTTGTTACTTCTTCTGTGAAGATAATGTGATTGGAAGGATCGGGGCTCTGGGTGCTTTGGCTCACAAGGGCCAGGAGGCAGGCTCTGGAAGCTAAATACTTTGCCAGCCACAGGCTTGATGCTTTGTTTCTGCTATGACCCTCAGATGACAGGACTTAGTCCATACCAGTCGGCCTCCAACCAATATGCCCTTTGCTGACAACGCTCTCTCTGGATTGAACTTCTCTATAGGACCATATTAGGACTTCTTCCTTATTATGAAACCTTGTCATGTCTGTGCTCTACTCAAACATTGTAGAGAGTGTCCTAGGACTCCCTAGGCCATGATGGTTTCTTGTTTTCAATCCCCAAGATTAACTCAGTCCCAAACAATAGTTCTTCTCTCAGGATGGTATTTTGTACAGAGCTTCATGATAAGGAGAGCAACAAAGTATCATTCTCCACCCAGGCTAGCTTTTCATACAGAAGCAGTCACTGCCTCACCAACTTGCTCACTGGATTTAAGGCTTGCAGCTAAAATTGCCAGTCTGTCACCAGGGCCATCCTTTCAGTGGTTGATGAGTATGTCAAATGATTCCATACTTAGCTATTGTGAATAGTGTCACAATAAAATATGGCTATGAAGGTATCTCTATTGTATGCTGATTTTGATTGCTTTGGAAATGTACCCAGTAGTCATAGTTAGATTATATGATAGCTCTATTTTTAGGTTTTGAGGAAGCATCATACAAATTTCCATAGTAGGTAGACTAACTTGTATTTCTATTAATAATGTATAGGTGTTCTTTCTTTGTGTGTGGGAGAGGGGGCTGGGGAAGTCCTGGAGCTTGAACTTAAGGCCAGTGTACCATCCTTTAGCTTTTTGCTCCAGGCTGATATTCTGCCACTTGAGCCACACCTTCACCTCTAGCTTCTGGGTAATTAATCAGAGATAAGAGTCTCACAGACTTTCAGGTCTTGGCTGGCATTGAACTATGATCCTCAGAGCTCAGCCGCCTGAGTCACTAGGAATATACACTTGAGTAAGTGACCACATCCTAAGGGTTCCTTAATAAACAGATTTGAGTAAGATTGCAATTAGCTCTCTTATCAGATATGCTAAATACCAGAAAGTTGTTGGCAAGGCCAGCTAAGCCTGAAGGCCTTGTTTCTGAATTTCACCCCCACAAAGTATTAATTAAATCACATGACAATGATATAAAGACCAAAGAAATTTATTTCACAAGTTCCCAGTCAATCAAAAAGTAAACCAAGAAGGCAGTTCATACGGTAATTGTGTATCAAGGGCTGAAGATGACTAAGGCATCTGAAAACCCAGTAGACACAGCTTCCTAGAGACCCACAGGGTAATAAGCCATACCACTGGGAGAAAAAAGGTTCCTGACACTCCTTGCCACAGACCTCCACAAACCTGGAGTTCTGCTTACTGAGACACCGCAGCTTCATCTTGAAAATGTGAGTTCTGCTGGAGAGTGAACGTGATTCCAAGCCCAGAAAGGCACCTTTCAGTTTCTAGACAGCCTCCTGGGATAGCCTGCTCTGAGGGACCAGGAAATCTTAAACCCTTCCCCACTCCACCAGAATCCCAGTGTACCCAGCCATGGCCATGTGGTTTATTCAGTCCTTTTGAGGTAGCAGTGAGGGATGGTGCATGAAGAAACCAGAGGCAAAACTCAAAGGAAGTGTGACTCCAACTTTATTAGAAACCAGACACAGGACCCTCATTGGGGGACAGAGACATAGAGTGGCACAATTTGAGTCTTCTGGGCAGAGCTCAAGAGAACAGGATTGAGCTCCAAGGGGAGGGCCTCAGCCAGGCTCCTCAAAGCAGCCTCTGCCAGGCAGGATGGTCAGGGTGCTGAAGGAAATGAGGAGCTGAGGACTTTTTAAATGGCCTACATGGGTCAAGGATTAAGTGGAAGAAAATGACTGGTAAGGCCATAGAATAGGAAGGTCGTGGAAAGAAGAAGAAATGAGAAGGCGGAGTCAGGGCTGCAGTGGGTCCAGCTGCTTCTAGGGCAGGATGAGGATGGACTCCCTGGCCCCATCCCTTGGTCCTACTTGCCACCCCACTTGGCTACCTTTGTGAACACAGGTGTTGGGAGGAAGCGGCTGCTCTTCATGTAGGCAGAGATCTTCTTCAGGCCCTGGGAGTGAGGAGAGAACCAGAGGTCAGATCTACTGCCTGTTAGCCTGAGCAGCCACACTTTAGGAGCAGCCTGTTCATGGAGATCAAGGGGTGAGGCCCAGCTCAGTCTGCTTAGTTCCTGCCCTGTCCCCCAGCTCTGAGAAGGGAGCTTTTCCAGGTCCTGTATCAAGGCAGAGACTAGACACAGTAAGGTGCTTTAAAACCACTAGACATTACAATGTAGGGTAAAAAAAAAAAAAAAAAAATCACTCAACTGCAAAAAGTCATCCTATCAGAACAGGAAGGAACTTGAAAGATTTCCTGTAAGAGTGAGCAAATGCAATCATAATATTCTCCCTATATATAGGTTAAAAGGAATCTAGGTAGATTAAGGAGATGGTTAGAGTTGGGAAAGATGATGGGAAATGATTTTTTTTATCAAAGGATGACATTGTACTCACAAATTAACGTAAAATTGACTCACAAATTGAATTAAAACCCCTTTGTACAAGTATTTAAGGACAAGAGGGAAGGAGAAAGAGAAAGGAAGGAGAGAGAAAAGGAGGGAGAAGAGGAGAGGAGGGGAGGAGAGAGGAAGAGGGGGGAAAGGAGGTTAATGGGAGGGGAGGGGAGGATTTCCTATCTACACCGCTAGTGCGGGGCAGGGCTGGAGTCAGCCTGGTTCTGGGTCTGCTATTCTGTGCTTTCTGGGTGCTCCCCTACCCCAACTCCCCACAGGTGGCCCTGTGACCCCTCTCTGGTCTGGAATGTTTCTTTTCTACAAGGAAACTCCTGCTTGCCTGGTTTTATACAATGACAAAGGGATCCAGAACATGCCAGTAGAGCAGACCTCAAATCCTGCATAAAATGGACAGGACAGTTAGTGGAGGACCAGCTTGACACATTTGGCTTGCCCTAATCATTTTCCAGAAAGCAGAAGGACCAAACTTTTTACCTAATGTCCGAGCCTGATCTCCTCTCCAACCCTAGTACAGAGGACCAGGCTGAATGACAGTAGATATGCTTTGTGCCTCATTAAGAATATAGAGTATTTAAATAAATTCCAAAAAGAATCAGAGATCTTTGGCTGGGCACAAGTGGTTTATGCTTGTAATCCTAACTACTCGGGAAGCTGAGATCTGAGGATTGTGGTCTGAAGCCAGCCCAGGCAGGAAAGTCCATAAGACTCTTATCTCCAAGAAGCTACTCAGAAAAAGCCAGAAGTGTTGCTGTGGCTCTAATGGTAGATCACTAACCTTGAGCAAAAGAAGCTCAGGGTCAGTACCAAGACCACAGTTCAAGTCCCAGGACTGGGGGGAGGTGGGGGGAAGAACCTGAACTCAACAATGCAGGCCCACAAGTCTCAGGTTCTAACTCTCAGCTATCCCATCCCTCTGGACAGTTGAGCCATTTCTTGTATAATTCCCAAGGCTTCACCTCTAGGACCAAAACCAGAGCTGATAAGCTATCTGAGAAAGCACATTTCTTGATGAGGAGTTAGAAAGAGAACAGATTCCAGGCAGAAATCGCTGTTCCCCTAATGCTTCCTACTCCCAAATCTGGAGTCAAGTAGGTTTTGTTGATGCCAAACAGAGACTCTGAATGCACCATAAATCATTGTGAGGTAAGGCCCAGACTGGGCTCCCTGGCACCTGTCTGGGACTACCTGAATCTCACAAACTGGTATTTCTGCCAAGAAAGATTGGCGAAGGCCAATCTTTTCATTGGCTGGAGCTACATTGTATTTCATTCAGCGAATGCCAGAATATGGAACTGAAAAGAGAGTATGAGTTAATTTCACAGACAAAACACATGAGCTAGGAAAGAGGAGGTTGAAACAGTTGACAGAGAGAAAATGAGACAACCACCATCAAGCAACTCAAGAAAAAGTCCAGCTGGGCACTTGTGGAGTTCAAAGCCAGCTTAGGCAGAAAAGTCCGTGAGACTCTTATCTCCTAATCACCAAAGAGCTGTTAGTGAAGCTATGGTTCAAGTGGTAGAGTGCTAGCCTTGAGTGAAAAAGCCCAGGGAGAGCAAAAGGTCCTGAGTTCAAGACCTAGTACCTGCTCCCATCCCTAAAAGGCAATTCTTACGACAGGGGTCCTGGGATCTCAGTGCCTCTCCAGTCAGGAAGCTGAGCAAAACTTCCTTCTGGTTACCCAGCACAGCCTCCACTGGCACTGGGACCTTAAGCAAATGACTCACTCTCTACAGTCTCAGGTTCCTAATCTGTCCAATAGGATGGATTGCCCTATGTACCCTATAGGAATGCTGTAATGATAAACTTGGCCCAACAGATGCAAGTTGCCAAACACAGGGACTGCCAGAAAGCCAGCGCTCACTAAACCCTCGTTATTCTTCACACAGCTCCAGGACTAGGGAGGCATCATAGAAGAGGGGAAGGGAAGAAGTTCATCCATGAGGAAGGAGGATTGGGGAGGGGTGTCACCTCAAAACGGGAAATGAAGTCCTTCAGGTTTGGGAATGCATCCAGGCACTTTGGCTCAAATATTCGATTCCTCTCTATCATATCATAAGCAATGAAATCCACAAAGGTGATCTGCAGAAAGCCAAAAATGAATGGGCTGAAATCTTATAAAATGGGAAGAAGGAAACTGTCTCTTCATCTCCCTCCTCTTTACCTTGTCCCCTGCAAACCAGGGCCGCTTCCCCAGGAACTGGGAGAAAAGTTTCAACATTTCAGGGAGTTGCTCCAAGTACTCTGGTTTCAATTTCTCCTGAGACAGAAAACAGCTGTTACCACCCTCAGACACAAAATTCCCTGACAGAATGACTAGGCCCAGCCAGGCTATGTAGGCCTTGGCAGGGCCATGGTGAACAGAGCTTCCCTAAAATTGAGCCTGGCTCCAGGCTTTAATATATCAGCATTGATTATAGACTCCTACAGTTAGAAGACACCATGTGTCTGAGGGGATTAAAAGTCAGACACAAAGTACACTGTTGGGCATCTCATCAGTGATGTCCAAACCCTTTCTTTCTTATGGATCACCCCCTCCCCAAAGTGTGCAGGTACCTGGCAGGCTCTGAGCTCAGATTTAGGCAGAATCAAAGAAGCAAATAACAACAACAAAAAAAAAGCATCCAGTGTTCTTTCTAGTGGGGTGGCAGAAGACGGGCATGAACTTACATGTATTTTTCAAAAAAGATGAAGTGAATTTGAGATGGCAAAAAGAAAGAGGAACAGGATCAAAGATATTTAGGCTCACTGGAAAAAACCATCAAGAAATGGCTACAGAAAGCTGAGTGCCAGTGGCTCAAACCTGTTATACTAGCTCCTCAAGAAGCTGAGATCCTAGAATCACAACTCAAAGCCAGCCTGGCAGATAAATCTGAGAGATTCTATCTCTAATTAACCAACAAAAAGTCAGAAGTGGGGATGTAGTTCAAATGATAGAGTGCCAGTCTTGAGTGAAAAAGACAAAGTAAAACTCAAAGCTTTGTTTTTAAGCCCCAGTACCAGCACAAAACAAAAAGAAAAAAAAAGAGAACAACATGTCTGTAGGAAACTAGCTGGGAAAAAGTCCACAGGCAAGAGTGCCCATCACGTCCTCCTTTTCCTCCTAGTCTGTGTACCCCAATACCAGTGATGCATTCAGCAAACTGGAAACATGACATAAGGGAAGAAATCCAGTCAGAACTGAGGAGTCTGAACACAAACTTAACTATCCAGGTACTGACTTTCTACCTAAGATTTAGTGGCAGGTGGTTTGCAATTTTCATTAGAAAATATAGGGTTTAAGATGTCACTCTGTTCGTGAATCTTGTGAGGGTGTTTTGTTTGGTCTGATTTGAGTCTGGATTGGTTTTGAGACAGAATCTTAATATATAGCACAGGCTCTAGCCTCAAATCTTCAACCCTCCTATCTCAGTCTCCTGAGTGCTGGGATTACAGGTGTGTTGTTGGTTGGGAACCACAATTTGTAGGATGATAACACAAAGTGTTTGGATAGCGAACTAGCCAGAGGAGTTGGAAATGCAAAGATGAGCCCCTGTTCCTCTCTGTATCTCTTAGCCCAGCAGGGAACTCACAAAGTCAGGGCTGTAGCAAATCCTGGCCAGTTGCATGCGAGTATCCATAATCTGGTTCTCCAACATGTCCACACGAATCTTCTCCTCCTCTGTCTCTCCACCTACAGCCACATAGATGCATACTCACCTTACTGCCCCAGGCCAAGCCCAGGAGCTGGCCATTGTCCACCCCATACCCCATATACATTACCCTGCAGCCAACCCCACTCACACAGGTTGTGCTTGCGGGCAATGTAGCGCAGGATGGCGTTGCTCTGGGTGATCTTGTGAGCTCCATCAATCAAGTAGGGCAGCTGGATGGACAAGCAGGGAAGGTCACAAGGGGCCCAGGCCCCAGCAGCCCTTCTCTGGGTTAGACAGACACGAGACCTGGCATTCAGTGTGCCTGACCATGGTGATCCTCACATAAACATCCTGCAGAATGAATGCAAGAGCTGGGACACAGAGCATCATTGAAACACTGCATAGACTAGAATGAAAGCCCAGGAATAACTGATCCTGAAACCTCTGAATAGAACATGGAGATGAATAAGGAACATCTGGAATTTCCCAGACCACCCCTTCCCCTGTACCTACATTGGGGAAGTCCAGGCCCAGCTTGAACTTCTCATTCAGCCATTGGCTTCCATCATAGTCAGGAGCTGTGGTGGACAAGATTAATTAAAAGCAAACCTCCTTGAGTCCAGCCCTCCTTCCCCAGCACCCCCTGAGGCAGTGGATCTGCACTCTGACCAGCTGTGTCCCACATTCCAAGGCTACAGGGGTGAAGAATGCAGTAAGGGCTGAGGGATCTAAGGACCAGGGTCACAAAAGGTTTAGGCCAGTGCTAGACAACCCCACCCAACTTCAGACAGAGGGGACCCCAGCCCTCCTCTCCCAGCTCCATATAATGGAATACCAAACTGCATCCTACAGGGGTTTGAGAAGGAGCAGGCCTTGAGTGCAGGTGGAGGAGGCCTGCAGAGCTGAGCAACAAGGAGCAACAGTATAGGTGGCTGGACACCCTAATGGACAAGAACTGCTCAGGAATCTGACCAGGAGGGGTCATTACCGTCCCCCATCGTGTATCTCTTCTCCTCATAGCTTGTGTCTGTGTATTCCAGGAGCAGGCGGATGCCATGAGCCAGCTGGGAGAGATGGCAGGTGACACAAGTCAGGGGAGAAGGGCATTGTGTGGCTTCACCTCCCTGGTGAGCCTCTCCCTCCCTTCTCCTGAGGTTAGTATTTCCAAGCACACACATGCACCTCTCCATCCCCTCACCTCCCTATCAGGTCTCCCAGCCCTGCTCTTACACGCACAGGGTCTCACAGGCCTCCTGCCTGACACAGAGAGGGTTACAACAATTCCTCTGGAGGATGCATTTTCTAGAACTAGACCCCCATCTATTCAACAAGTCCCCACCCTGTGTCCCCGTCCTACGTGGCCATCGGACCCCTGGCTCACCCCACGGATATCCCAGTAACCCAGTGTCATGGGCATGGTGCTGGTGCTGTGAACTGAGCCGACAAACACCTGCCCACAGTCGTCCCAGATCAGAGAGTGCCTGGTGCAGGCAGGCGTGGCTGAGCCCGGGCTGTGGGCTGCTTTTAGCCCGCCCCGCCCCGCCCCACAAAGCCACCAATCCCCGAGGCAGGAATCGCCCACCCGCGGGGAGGGCCAATCCCAGCCAAAGGCAGGGCTCCGCTTGCAGCCCGGCAGCGGCTGCCCTCTGCACCCCCACCTGACCTGCCTGCTCCTAATTTATCAGTTACCCTGGGAGACCTCCAGCTAGTGAGCCAGCAGCACTGTCCCCACCTTCCTTCTCTTATCTCACAGCTCAGTCTTCCACCCTGGCTGGGCTCTGGAGTGATTGTGGATTCTGGAGACTCAGGAAGCCAGGGTCAAGCCAACAACAACAACAAACAAGCAATAACAACAACAAAGAGCAAGAGTGGCGGGTGGGGTGTTGCAGCCAGAGAGTTCAATGCTCCACTTCTCCATCATAAGTCATTGCAATCAGACCGGTGGGCTGGTTAAGCTACGCTAATGGCCTGTAACTCAGAGGTGTGTCACTGGGGCTCTCCACCCCCCTCCCCATTCAGACAGGGCCAGTCTTCCTACCCAGAGCCAACCCTGTGCCCAAGCTCAGGTCTCAAGAGTAACCTCTCCAAATTTGTCCACACAAAAGCCTTGTGTCCAGCACTCACACAGGGCTGGCCCTCGGAATTGTTTCAGTCCTTCAGAGGGTGTCGTTTGGGCCTTTATACATTTTGGATTTTGAAAGAAAAATGTCTGAATCCTATTAAAGGGATGATTATTTTTCATTTTTATTTTTTGTTGTTAAAAAGGTGAAGTAAGGAGGATTACAGTTACATGTCAGATAATAAGTACATTTCTTTTGGGACAATGTCACCCCTTCCCTCTGAAGGAATGATTTTTTTTTAATCTAACACAAAGTCGCCCACAGGTGGCTCACGCCTGTAATCCTAGCTACTCAGGAGGCTGAGATCTGAGGATCATGGTTCAAATTCAGCCAGGACAGGAAAGTCCATGAGACTCTTATCTCCAAGAAACCACTAGAAAACATGAAGTGGCACTGTGGCTTAAGCAGTAGAGTGCTTCAGCTCGCCTTGAGCTGAAGAGTGCAGGGACAGCGCCCAAGCCCAGAGTTCAAACCCCACGACTGACCCCCCCAAACCCCACCAAAAAAATCTAACATGAATTAGAACAATACTTTTGAAAGATAAGACAGCTGGGTGCCAGTGGCTCATGCTTGTAATCTTAGTTACACAAGAGACTGAGATGAAGACTTAGGTTTGAAGCCAGATTTGGCAGAAAAGTCAGTGAGACTTATCTCCAAATAATGAGCAAACAAGCTGGAAGTTAAGGTATGGCTCAAGTGGCAGAGTGGCCAGCCTTGAGTGGAAAAGCAAGAGCATAAGGCTTGAATTCAAGCCCCAAGTATCAGGAGAGAGGAGGGGGGAAGAGAGAAAGAGAGAGAAAAAAGAGAAAGAGAAATAGGGACAGGGAGAAGGAAGGAGAGGGAGAGGAGATTGGCTGTTAACCACCACAATTGAGGTAGGAACTACAGGAAGAGACTTTGAAGGTAGAGAGCAGGATATCTTTTTTCTCCCAATACTGGTGCTTGAACTCAGTGTCTGCATACTGTTCCTTAACTTTTTCCCTCAAGACTATCACCCTACCATTTGAATCACAACTCCACTTCCAGCTTTTTGGTAGTTAATTGCACCAACTGGCTTTTGAACTGCAGTCTTCAGATCTTAGCCCCCTGAGTAGCTAGGATTACAGGCGTGAGCCTCTGGTCCTGACATTTTCATGTTTTTATACCTTGAGCTGAGTAGACAGGGAGGAAGGCTGGTAAAGGAGAGGGAGGACATGCTGGCCTGGACAAGGACTCTCAGGAGCTGGGAAGGTAGAATCCAGTCACAGGGCCTTTCAGGAGAACAGCTCTGCAATAGCAGGGAACAGGCTGGACTGGCAATCTCTCAAAGGCAGGGTCTCCAAAAGCCAGAAGGGACATCCACTGAGTTTCCTAAGTCCCTGAAAGGTAAGAAGAAGCAATCAGATTATGGATACTTCATAGTGGTGTGAAGTAGAGGATTTTAGTCGTCACCTCACAGAAATGCTGGCTTCTTTGGACATCTGTGTGTGCTGTCCCTGCTATACAGAGTGGACAATTTCTCATTGTTCAAGGTCATCACTTTGACACTGCAAGGTCATCAAAGTGTATTGGGTACAATTTGACTTAAAGTCTACAAAGTGTCCTTTGGATTGGAATCCATAATTCTTTCTTCTTTTCTCATTTGCCTCTAATATTGTAACCCCCTTAGGATGAACTCACAGAATTTCCACAAGGAATTAAATCAGATTTTATTTGATTTGATTAATTAATTTTTGTTTGTTTGTCAATCCTGAGCCTTGAACTCTGGGCCTGGGCTCTGTCCCTAAGCTACTTTTGCGCAAAGCTAGCATTCTACCACTTGAGCTACAGCACAGCTCCCGGCTTTTTCTGTGATTAACTGAAGATAAGAGTCTCACAGATGTTTTTGCCTGGGCTTGCTTTGAGCCAAGATTCTCAGATTTCAAATTCTTAAATAGCTAGGATTGCAGGCATGAGCTACCAGCACTGGGCATTTTTAAATATCCAAAAGGATGATCTTTATTCGTTATACCATTGGCCCATAACAGGAGACAGTTTTACTTGAGGTCACATTTGGCAAGAGTTCTACCACTTGAACAATAGCTCCCCTTCTGACTTTTTTTTCTGGTTAATTGGAAGTAAGTTTCACAGACTCTCCTGCCTGGGTTGGCTCTGAACCACAATCCACAGATCTCAGCCTCCTGAGTGGCTAGAATTTCAGGCATGAGGCAAGGAAATGAGAGCAGGGACCTGGGCCTACCAGGTGGAGAGGCTGGGTGGCCTAGTCTTCCAGTTTACAGGGTGGGGAGATGGGTTACTCTTTTCTGGTCCCATAATCTTCCACCAGCAGGTTGGTGAAGAAAAAGAGAAGTTGAGATACACTTCAGAAAACTAAGAATGCAGATGTCCCATTGGAAGAAAAGAAGGATGCTCCAGCCAAGTAGAGAAAAGAAAATCCTCCCTTCTCCTCATTTTGTTCTATCAGGGCTTCAACTGACTGGATGCTACCTACCACATGAATGATGACTATCCTCTTTGCTAATTCTAATGCTAGGTCTTTTCAGGAATCATCTTGGATTCTTCCAGCAAATAATGGGAAGTCAAGTTGATGCAGAAGTGGAGTTGTGGCTCAGTGGTAGAGTATCAGCCTTGAACAACTAAGGGACAGTGCCCAGGTCCTGAGTTCAAGCCCCAGTCTCACATGTGCATTCAGAGAGAGAGACAGACAGACAGAGACAAGACAAATAGAGAAGACAGAAAAACAGAGAGAAGTATGCTCACATGTGGACTGATAGAAAATACAAACCTTTAGTTAAAATGACACAGAAAAGGGGTTTGGAGATGTGGCTCAATCAGTAGATCTGTATGTAGCTCAGGGACAGCAGCCAGACCCTGATTTCAGCACTCACGCGTGCACGCACACGCGCGCGCACACACACACACACACACACACACACACACACACAGAAAAGGAAGTTTTGCCTAATGAGGAAGCAGAAGAATGAAATATGTATTTGGTAGTGTCCATGGAGTTTGAGGAGTGTTTGAGGCCGAAAGGGAGAGAGAAGAGCAGAGGTTTTCTCGCTGACTATGAGCTGCCTTCATACAGTGAAGGGGACAACATTGGGGCAGAGGTCAGAACTCAAGGCTTTCATGACAGTGTTAGAGCTTAGACATCATTTTCCTCATTGATTGAATTTGTTCATAAAGCAGCACGCAGATGGAATGAATCAGAGAACAAGGTTAGAGGTAGAAAATTCTTTTTTTATTTTTATTGTTATAAAGATGATGTACAGAAAGGTTACAGTTATATAAGTCAGGTAAAGAATATATCTCTTGGGGCTGGGAAGGTGGCTTAGTGGTAGAGCCTTGCATGCCTGAGGCCCTGGGTTTGATTCCTCAGCACCACATAAGCAAAAAGAAAAAAGCCAGAAATGGCGCTGTGGCTCAAGTGGTAGAGCGCTAGCCTTGGGCTGAGGGACAGCACCCAGGCCCAGAGTTCAGGCCCCATGACCGGACCAAAAAAAAAAAAAATAGTACATCTCTTTTTAGACAGTGTCACCCTTCCTCTCACTCTCTCCCAGTTTTTCCCTCCTGTCCTCACCTACAAGTTGCATAGTTCATTTCAACATCATGTCTAATGAGAACCAGTGTTACATTTGTTCACCCTTTGTCCCTCCATTTCTGTGCCTCCTCTTGCCCTCCAAAAGACAGATAAATGAATAAAAAGAAAAAAACAACAAAAACAGCAAAAAAGAAAAAATATTTTGTTTTCATTTCCTGAACATTACTTTATATGATCAGATGCATATAGACATGGTACCTTTCTGTTCCTCTCCTAAGAATATCCTCCAGTCCTATATAATTTATTGTATCCCAGTGTATTTTAAATCTAGCTTCCGGAGGGGGACCAAGATGGCGACGGGGCAGTAGGGAAATGCCACAGCTCTCTCCAACCAAAAAGAGAATTCGAGTTCCAACGCTCAATCTCCCCAAGAGACCGACAACAACAAAAAGACGAACACTCAGAGAAAAACTAGAGGTGAAAAATAATAAAAAAAAGAAAGAGAGGATAAGAAGAATTTCAGAACAGAGAAGAGCGAAGACCCCTCCCCCAACCTTTACTGGCCGCGCGGCAGAGCGCCAAGCCGCTGGCCAGCCGGCAGGGCGGGGGCTGCCGGAGCCCCAGAGACACAGGGGGCCACTCGCAGATACCAGGTACCGGTTGCAGATACCAGGTACC